TGCTGGTCTGCCAGCAGACCGCTCGCTCTCCCTAGAGCTCGCCCGGGGACAGCGCGGGGTGCAGCACCACGGCCGGGCTCAGCTCCGAGCGAAGAGCCCCAGCGGAGCGCGGGGACGCAGGAGCAGCAGCCCGGGAAGGGCCCGCGCTGGCCGCAGGGCTCGCCCCGGGCCCCGGCCGCCATGGCGCCTCCGCTCCCCCCCGCCCCGCGGCCCGGCCGCCTCACTGCGCTCACCTGGGCGATACCGGCGCCCATGAGGCCGCCGCCGATGATCGTGACATGCTTGATGAGCAGCTTCTTGGCTGCCGCCGTGGCGGCGTCGGAGGAGGCGGCGCGCACGAAGTGGCGGGTGGCGAAGGCCATGGCGAAGGCGCGGAGCGAGCGGCACGGCCGGGACAGGCGGGGCCGGGCCGGGCGGGGCGAGGGCCGTGCTCCGCCCCGAGGGAAGGCAGCAGGTTCCGGCTGCCCGGTCCCAGCTGCCCGCAGGGGGGGAGGCGCGTTGGGTCTTTCACCTTCGCTAGCTCTGCTTCCTTAAGAGCCAAGCAGCAAGGGCAAGGTCAGCACCGCCGGAACGCCCGCGAACGCCCGGCTGGCGCTGGGCCGGCGGCCGAGGCTGCGCTGATGCCCGCCCTTTGCCTCAGCGCTCACCTTGCCGCTGCCAGCGCTCACCTTGCCGCTGCCGCTGCTCGTGCTCGCAGAATCGCTGAATCAACGAGGCTGGAAAGACCTCCGAGACCATCGAGTCCAAGCCGTGACCAAACACCACCATGTCAACTGGGCCATGGCACTAAGTGGCACATCCAGTCTTTCACCAAACACCTGCAGGGACGGTGACTCCACCACCTCTCTGGACAGTCCATTCCAGTGTCAAACCACCCTGTGAGCACAGGGTCCAACCTAAACTCTCTGCCGGTCAGCTCAAGGCTGTGTCCTCTTATCCTATCACTGGTTGTGTGGGAGAAGAGATCTACCCGCACCTGGCTACACCCTCCCATCAGGGAGTTGTAGAGCGACAAGGTCTGTCCTGAGCCCCCCTTCCTCCGGGCTAAACAATGCCAGAGCCTTCCTGACAGGACCTGTGCTCCAGACCCTTCCCCAGCCCCTTTGCCCTTCTCTGGACACCCTCCAGCACCTCAATGTTCTTCCTATTCACATCATTAGAAGCTCTCTCTCCACAACAAAAGCTTCCTGACTAGAAGGGGATGTTATTTCCAGGCTAGCACAAGATACATACTAAACAACTATAATTAAAAAAATAAATTAAAAAAAAAAAACAAGAAAAAATTCTTCCACTATAAAAACTAACAGCTGAATCATATCAGATGCAGACTGCCCTGATTTCCATCTAATTAATTTATCACCAGAAAGACCTGCACTTCAGCAGCAGCTGACAACACTGCAAGTACTACTCGAGTCAGCACCAGGGTAAACATTAAGCAGCTTGTTTTATTCAAATAAAGTGTTGTATTCTCATATCTCTGCACTTTGTACCACAAACTTACTGCAAAAAAATTCACTTGGATTAGGTAGGAGCAGGAAGTGGCTTTGGGAACAGCTTTATCCAAAGACCCCCTTAATCTTTGTGTATACAAATGACAGCTGAGTGGTAATTAATGAATTTCCCCTAAAAAACAAATAAACAAACAAAAAATAGCAGTATGCCAAGTAACCTGCACTGTAACTCCAGGGCATAAGACACAAGATTTCCACCTACAGCTCTTGTTGCTGAGTGCCTGCTCCTGGTTAACACCAGTGCTGTTACCCACCCCTCCCCACAAACAATTTGGTTGGCTCCTGCTCAGCCCTGCTCTTCCGTAGGGAAGGATCTCCCACTTTTCCCTCGGGGGCTCTTTGCCCTCTCCCCCAGGCTCCACCTTGGCACCCCTTTCCCTCTCTGCCCTCTGCCTCTCTCGATGCCAGAAGTCCAAAAAAACTACACCCCAACTTCTGCCCCGGTTTTCTCTCCTGCAGACTGCACACCTCCTCCTGCTGACAATTCTTTTGCTCTTTTATCTTCCTCATCTCCCACCCTTCCCCCTCTTCTATTCTGGGTAACTGTTTTTAAAAAAACCTCTATCATTCGATCATAACATGCCTGGCAATGTTATTTTCCCAATTTCACTTTGTTTCCCCACCTCCTTCACTCCTCATCCAAAGCACTTTCAACATTTTCTCACTCAGAAGCTTTTTCTGCAAGATGCCAAACACCACAAGTTCAGTCAGTAAGCGGAACTGATTGAAATGACTTTGCAAAACTGTGAAACACTTACTTGGGAATTACTTTATTCAAAATAAAAACACATTGAAGCAAAGTAATTTTAGAAATAAAGATATTTGCAGCATTCAGAAACAGTCACCTACTTAGCATACATTTTTCAACAAGGCATTTGAGATGCTTCCTCTGCTAAAAAAAGGAGAGGGGGAGGATATATTTACAAAAACAAACCAACTTTGCTACCACTCTTTACAGCTTGCCGAAGATGGCAACACACTTTGAAAACCACAGATTTTGCTGCTTTTATGCTATTGTTTAGTTACTTTTATGGTATCCTGTGAAAATTTCAATGCACCTGGAAGGTATGAAAGACAGGTCTTTATTGTCATTTCCAACAGAAGACCTTGACGTGGTTGGAACTTCCAATCAGTAGTTTTAGCCTGTCACACACTGCAGCATTTGATTACAGGTATCACCAAAAAACACGTTCTCAAAGTAGTATTTGTAGAAGGCTAATTCTCAAAGGTGACATTTTAAAATAAATTCATCAGGCAAAACAAGTACAAAACAAGCACAGTTTCACATACCAGGGGATTATGTGAATTGCATCTTCTTTGGAATCTGTAAAAAAATACTAAAGTGCTTTTCAAATGTGTCCTCATTGATGAAAAGGACAGGTATTTTGTACAAGTGATCAGTTGCACACCAACATCATTATGTTGTTTAAAAAGGCATTTCAACAGAAATATAAATATTATCAGCACTTAATTTTAGCTTCTCAATTAAGCATAAATTTAGGATTTCCAGATAAAAATCCCAACTCTACAGAATCTATTCATTCATTGGAAAATACAAAATTAAATTAAATAAAGTGCTTAATTCTCCAGTACTGTCTGGTTTTAGAGCAAGTTCACTGGCATTGGTACCAAACTCAACTTTTTATTATACTAAGTTTTCAAACATTTCATACCAAAAAACCAGACTCACAAACCTATATAGTCCAAAATTAACCTAATTAAATTGAAAAAAATTTAAAAGAATTGAAAGTTCTCACACAAACAGTGGGATACCTGACCAACCAAATACATAATTCAAAAATTAAGGCACTCTGTTATTCAAAACATGTAACAGAAAACCTTAATTTAAATGATAATAACTATCTTACAGTCTTTGTTAGGCACTACCTGGCTTTTAAAATTTCAAGGTTAAAAGTGACAAAACCAGACATTAATTTAAAGCTGAGAAGTTGTCTCTTCTTTTACAATTTAAGTTTTGTTTCTTCTATGAAATAACCAGTTCTAAATTACATTCAAATTCACATTCCAGTCTTGTATACTTGACATTAGGAGGGCTCTGGGTATTCTCTAGATCTCCAGTGAGGGGGAAAAAATCTTTAGAAGAGTATATAAGAATTAATGTGATACAAAATTCTGATAAATCAAAAGGAGTGTTAAGAGATTAAAGAATTATTAAGAACAACTATTTAAAGGTTAGTTGTTACACAGCCCCCAAAAGATCACTTTCCGTGTCTGAAATACAAAGCAAGACTGAGTGCCCTGTTCTGAAACAATTAATGAGGTTTCCTTGGCAGCTGGTTTGACAGTGGTTAAGAGCATTAAGATTCTGCATGTGAAAAAAGTACTGATACACTAATGCTGCATGAACTACAGATACTTTTACTCTATATGGAAGATAATAAAGAGAGAGCCATTATATCCAAACCTCAAGTTTGTCAGCTTCCTCCTGTTCCTGGTAAATGTATAAGCAGTACCTGTACTGCTCCAGTGATGCCATATTTGAAGACTCCAGTTACCAAAGCCAGAGTTTGTGGCAGTACCGTCCACACTGCCTGTGGATGAAAAACCTGAGCACCAGCCTCGACTTCAGGACTACACACTGTAGACGGTAGTGTTCTCCCAGTGAGCAGCTGCTGGTCCCGTCCAGCCTGCAGCCACTGCTGCCATGAGGTAAACAGTGAACGCCAAGAGGCAGCACAGATGTCTTGAATATGTTTGGCACCAGAAAGAACAGAGTTCTGCTGAGTCTTGTTAGAGAATTCTGCTCTCGTTTGTATTCTGAGATAAAACATCTGCATCCTGATGCTGCACACTCATTTCATGCTGAGAATATGCAATATTCAAGGATTTGGCCTCAAATCCTGGCTTTTCCAACTTGGTACCTGCTTTTTTATATTGAGCCCTGAATCTCAAGGATATTTGGATCCAATCTACTACACCTATAAGTTAGTTGCAAAAAAGAATCGTCCAACATTAAAAGTAATGTCATTAGATAATTTCCAAAAGTGTAAGTAATTATTTAAGCCCAGTTATAATCTTGATTTTCACAGAAAATGCTAACAATCAATTAATTAATACTTTTAATATTACATTATGTGCTTCACTCCTTTGGTAAATATAATGTTTATGTGTGGCTTTCACAATTTTTTACAATCACTATTTGCCAGAACAGGAACAAATGTTTTGGACCATTCTCCCATAATCAACATTTGACAAACTGACCATAACAGACAGAGGTTAGGCCCACCAAGTTTTAATATCAAATTAAAAACTATGCTGTCAGTTCATTTGTGGAATGCAACAGCTGACAAAAACAAATCTTCTTTGCAGAAGGCTAAATGGATCATTCTCACTGACTAGGAAAGCCTACGCAGTTGGGGTTATTTTCTGGAAACAAAGTAACAAAATAAGCTGGAAATAGTAAAAAAAGAAAAAAAAGCTGTATTTTAAAAGTGCAGTATTTCTTTGCTTAATCTTTTTTGACACTGCATCATTTCTTCAAAGCTATTATGTTGAATGGACATGGAGCTAAAGTCAGACCAAACCTTCCCTCCATAGATGGTTTTGCAGCATTTTCAGGGTACATAAAGGTAAAACTTTGCATAAGACTTGAAAAAATCAAGAACAGCTCCATTTTTGCCAACTGCTCTCCCATGCACACACGTTTACCTAAAGAACAGTTAGAAGAGAGGTATTACTGGCTTTATACAGTTGACCTACTTGTTAACACACATGTAATTCCTGTGTTCCTGTGCTACCATAGTCCAAAAAAGGCTCAAACTACTATTAAGCTATGACCTCTGAAGCTCTGGCCTCCTGTATGTGAGTCTAAGCCTTGCTCAGTTGTACTAGTTCATATTAACAATATTTACATCCACAGCAAAAGCAGTATCAAAGGGCAATTCATAATTTCTGTCTGGCGACTGGCTATTTAGGAACCTAAACCATTTTGCAAGCCACCAACTGTGATAATAAATCTACTTCTATAATTGGTCCTATGTGCAACTTCTACATCTCTCACCCACAAGGCCCTACACTTGAAATACCACCACCCACCCACCCAACTAATGACTCCATGTGGATTATCTTACCCATTCCAAAAGGAATGAATGACTCTTTCTTTATTAGCTGGCCATTTTCATCCAGAAATCTTGATGGTTGAAATTCATCTGGCTTCTCCCAAATGTTTGGATCTCTGTGTACTGACCACAGGTTGGGCACAATCACACTACCCTTAGGAATAGTATATCCCTGGAGCACTTTAAACAAAAGCAGAGACAGAGATGTGACAAGTTGCTAGAAGGAAACATGGGAAAAATAGCAGTAAAAAAACAACAAGAGGATGTTACAAAAAATTATTTTGATCCCTAGCTGTGGGCTGCAAATGTAGCAAAAGCTGAAGGCAAAGGTGATCTCTGCTATCCTGCTTGAGTCAGAATCACACAAGCCTGAGCAGCTGGAAAGACACCAAGTTACACACCAACAGCTTCTGCAGAGAGAAGGAAGCAGCAGTTGTCAGAAATGCACTCTCCAGCACCCCAATACTGTGACCCACTTTCCTCCTGCTCCTGTGCTGTCACAGAGCCCCACCACAGTCAAAGGATGGACTTTGAACTGTTGTGACACAAGGGTTTTGAAATTACTAGTCTCATTTCAGCTTGCTGCACCTCACAATCCTGCAAATCAAAACATTTGGAAAAGCAGATCAATTCAGTAATAGTTTTAAAAGCTGAGTATTGCTCTCTCACACCGACTGTGGCCAGTGCTCAGCTATGTCTATGAAAACACACAGATGAGTTGGAAGTCTCATTTCTTAATGTTTCCTGTATGTGTGGAGGTCAGTGGTATAAGCCTTTAGCAAACCAATTACACTAAACTGATGCTTTCAGACCTCTGTGTCAGAATGCCAAGAAAGCTCTGCTGTTTCAGGTACAAAGCTGCAGTCTCAGCTGACAGCTATGACTTAGCACATTAGTCAATACAAGCTGACCCCCAGAGAAGAAATCAGTCGAGATTAGAAAAACTGCTGGATGTCAGGTCAGGCATGCTGCTTACACAGAGAACTATGTCAGGGCCTCCTGCTTCCTATAAAGGACATTTTACATATTTGTTTTACGGCTCTAATAGGTACATGAGGTCTTTGTAAATTATCACTAGATGTCCCATCAGATTTTCAGCCCCAGAGGAAACGCTGTAGTAACAAGTCTCTAGAAATGCTTACCAGCAGTTTCTGAGGCCATTCGAGGAATAGAAAGGGGAACAACTGCAGTCATCCTCTGCACTTCCATAATGGTTGCCTCTGTGAAGGGCATTTGAGCCTTGTGAGCAAGAGAGGGAACTTTGTCACGTCCTAGAACTGCTTCAATTTCTGCGTGTACTTTCTCTGTTCCAAGGAGCAAGAAAAATAAAGAAAAGACATAATATGTGAGAAGACATCATCTCAATTTCATCTGACTGTGCTTGCTTCACTGTTTACACAGATTTCTCAAAAATTACTTCAAGACGTGATTCCTAGCTGAAACAGCTATGCCAACATTAGCCTTAGGAACAGACTCAGGTAAGAAGAAAACAACCAAGCACAGTCTTAACAGTCAAGAAAGCTACTGAGCTGACACACCTTGCTAGCACTTCACTATTGGAAAAGTACAGGAAAAGTCCTGCTGCTACTCCAAACATATTCATAACCTTACTTTAAGAGTTTAATTATACAGTCATTTGAATTATGACAACACCAAGCTTCTGCTCTGCAATTAAAAACTTGAACAGTGAGAGAACTGCATGCAGTGTGTGCCTGAGTGTGAAGAGATGGGAAAGTTTTTCATGAAGTTGCTTTAGATACTTCATTCTGGAGCAGGAACTCTGGTGCTGCTACTGCAAGCATTGAAGCCATTTAACTCGTTCTTGCCTTTTCCTACTTTCTATTCATAGAACCTAAACTCAGCTATTTCCTATTTCCCCCAAAGGCAGCAGCAGATGCTCCTTTCCCTTTGCAGCCCTTCTGCAAAGTCAAAAAAATTCATGAGCTTATGAACGTCCTCATTCATGGGGAGCAAAAAATATCAAATTATTTCCTTGCCCCTTTCATTTCACTGAGGGCTCAGCATACAAGTAATTCTCTTCACAGAAGCTTCCAAGATTCAGAATTTGCTTCACCTATGTACATACAGATGATGTGCCTCTTCTTGCAGGGAACTTGCAATCTGGCTACACCACAAAAGACAATCTTGAAAAAGGAGACCTCAAAACGAACCTTTATTCAATAATAATAAAAGACAGTTTTAATGTTTTACCCTTTATATCCTGCATACTTTCTGGTTGTTCTGCTTGCCTTTTCCAACCAGGCTGCTGCTACGCTTGAGGTTTTGCTCTTTTCTCTCCTGAGCAGTGATACAAGATTAAATAAAAGTTCAATGCAAAAAAACTGTCCCAGTTTCTCCAGCAGCATCCCCAAGTGCTGCCTGAACTGTGTCTGAGGAGCTGCTGCTGCCATCTACTGGGTTTGACCCAGAAATAAAATTCATGCATGAGGAACATTAAAAACCACAAAAAAATACAGCAAGAGATGTGCTGACAGAGTGGCTCTCCAGTACTTTCTTTGTGGGGGTTTGCTACTTTTATCAGGGACATATCATAGCCCTATATTCAGGCATGTGTGTTCACGGTAATCTAAACAAATAAATAAAGTTTTTAATACATATTAAAAAAAAAAAAAAAAAAGAGACTGTCACATACCAAATGTCACACCAGTGCTTTATCCTGAACAACTAATGTGTTCAGTGTTTCTAAAAATATGAGAAACTATACAGAGAGCAGCCAAACAGCAGCCTCTGCAACAGCATGTTAATTGAACTGCTCTACAACTTTTCATATATTTAAAAATCTCAGTGATCTTCAGAAGTCAAGGCCCAAAACGAAGTCAGGGAACAGAACAAACCAAATACTACCCATGGCTTCAGCACCATATTGTCCATCCACATCATTCTCTATTTCCGTGTAAAAAGCAAAACCGTTTTCCAAAGAGAAAAATAATTTTTTTTCCTCTGATAGCCTTTAGCTTTCCTTCCATGACTGCAAGCAACTTTTGTTACTTCTAAAGGATACACAGTTCAGGTATTTTCTGTAGGGAGGAAATACATTTAAGAGAAATGTATTACCAGGAATAAAAAAAGGGGCCCCATACATAGTTCTAAGGCAATCAGGATATAAGGAATGGGATACTAAAAATGATACAATCTTGGCTACTGAGCATATTTAGATTGCTTGACAAGAGCCACAGCGTAAGGGGAAATCAGAGACAGGTAATAAAACTGTTAGAGATCAGCAGGAAAGTGAAAATTGACTAGCACATACACATACTGTACCATACAGAAGGAAAAAAGGTTAAAAAAACAAACACAAAACTCCTCTAGATTCCATTTGTGTAATTTAGAATACATCTAATCCATGTAACTGCATATCAAGTCAAGCAGTGATAACACACTGCATTAAAACAGAAGAATAAGCCTCTGCAACAAAAGCTTACTTTACATTTGTCCGCAGTGAACTTTCTCCCATGTACTGAACTGGTGCCCAGTTTTGCAGTTCGGTTGACTTTGTGCAATAAACTATGATCTTGACCTATTTGAAGAGATTTTTCCAAACAGATCCAACTCAGGGTAGGTGAGACTACTACCGGTCATGACCCACTTAGTTTTGAAAAATTCCAAAACCAGAGATTCTGTTAACTCTCAGGGCAATCTGTGTCACTCCTTTGCCATGTTGACAGGGCAATTTTTTTTCCCTGGTATCTGATCAGAATTTTCTTGTAGGTTGTTTCCACTGCTTCCCTTCCCTTCCCTTCCCTTCCCTTCCCTTCCCTCCACTGCACACCTCAAGGGAGACTACCTCCATTTTCTTAGCACCTTTTGATCAGACAATTGTAGACAGCATAAGGTTTCCCCTCAGTCATCCTTCCCTAACACTGAACAAGACCAATTTGTTCTGCCTCTGTTTGTGTCCCCCTATCCCTCATCATCATGAACCCACCTGACTGCCCTGAGCACTCCAGACTGACAGGCAGAGGCCCTCTAGCAACACTGGCAGCTGGTGCTGGGCATTTGTGCAAGTCCAGTTCACTTAAGCTGTCTCTGATGTGATCCTCCTCTACAGCAGGTACTGTTTTACTTCCCCAGACTCTGCTGCCAGGTTCAAGAGCCTCCCTGCTCAGGGAGCCATAAAAGCAGACCTTAGCACTATGGTCTTCACACATCTGTCACTACTACACGCCTGGAATGTTACAACTGCCAAAGTTTTTCAAACATACTAAAGTTCCCAGGAATTGCATGGGAAAGATAAAGTTGTACCAAACCAGAAGAAATTCACAGATTAAAGGGCCATTTAGCACTTAATATACAGCACTAACCCAGAAATCATCATAGAACAGCAGGATAGAAGATGCCTGATTACATACCAGCCTTTCAAATCACACATACAACAGGAACCATTGGCTCTCCAAATGATTTCTTCACTGTCACTGCTAGCTTCTGTTTATGAGCATCGATCTGGAGCTTTACAGTCTGGAATAAATCACCTAGAATAAAAGTATTCTTACCTTGTACTTCAGGGTAAAGAGACATGTAGAGCAGGCACCACAGCAACGTGTTGGAAGTAGTATCTGTGCCGGCAATGAAGAGATCACCAATGATAAAAAACAGATAATCATCATTAAAACTGCTCTCCTTGTTGTTCTTCTCTTCCTCTGCATGGATGAAGTACATATCAATGAAGTCCCTGGGATTTGCTGCATCCAGCGTATCCCTGTGCTGGGCAATTATTCTCTTCAGAAAAGCAGTAATGTCTAACTCAGTTTGCCGAAGCTCCCGGAAAGGCCCAAAGGGAAGGTAGTAGAGCCACGGGCAGATGTTGACCAGGATCATGTAGCTGTTCACGCTCAGCTCCAGGGCGCGGGCCATGTTCTTCAGCATCGTCTTGAACTCGTCATCCTCGTAGTTAAAGCGCTTGCCAAAGGCCATGGAACAGATAACATTGGACACCGCGTTGCGAATGATTGGGAAGGGATTAAATGAATCCTTTCCGTGCTTCAGCATTTCCTCCTTTACAAAGTTCAGCTCCTCGATGATTTTAGGCTCTAAGCTGTGTCTCCCTACCCCAAAATGACGCAGTGTTGAGAGAGAGAATTTCCTCTGCTGCTTCCAGACAGGGCCATAAGGTGCAAAAATAACACCTGAAAGAAAAACGGAGAGACTGAAAGCAAAATGCCCAACTTTCAATTAGAAATAGTTCGCCATAACTGCAACCCAAGAGCCACAAGAGAAGGAAATTATACACACCAAATCTCGCCCAAGCACCTGTCTAGGAGCTAAAGGAAAAACACAAGGTTCTTTATTCTAGCTTTTGGAAATCCTGTCCCTCCTTTTCCTCATCACTGAAACGAATATCCAAGTTACATCACTAGTTTCATTAGACTTTGCAAGACACAAATAGATGGAGAAGAGGGAACAGTTAATCTGGGATATAAATTAGATACAGCCTTTTCTCCCCAATGTCCTGAGACATGAACTTCTTCAGCAAGGCATAACAGAAGACATTAAAACACAAACTGATTTGCGTTTTTTCTCCTTCGTGTTATACAAACTTCCCAACACTTTTTGCAAGTGTGTTTATTACAAGTGAGCTTTAAGTTATAATAAAATACAGGATACTCAACTGCAAGAAAACTGGGAAGGTGAAAACAGGTTCAGAGACACTTGGCAAAATCCTGCTTGATATGCATCTCAACAGTTTTGATGCCTGTAGGCACCTGTTCTGCATGATTGTGTCATTATGAAACACCATTTAAATTAAATCCCTATTACTCACTTTCAAACAGAAACATCTCTTATGTCGAATTAAAAGACCACACCAAAGACACCACAGGGTAACAAATACACAACCTGCAATTTCTAATGTAGTCCATGGTTAACCTGAGAAAGTTTAGTCATCAAACATGATCTAGTTCTGGATTTGTTCTTCTAGCAAAACAACACCACTTTTTTTTTTCTTTTCTTTTCTTTTTTTTTTTTTCTGGAAACAGAAAGTTACTTTGTAAAAGCAACATCAATTCTTCTGTCAACTGAAAACCTTAAAGTTGAATTTAAAAGGAGAAATGGCCATAAGAAAATAGAAGTAGTGCATAAGTACTAGAAGATGCATCATGTTTCAATACTTTACTTACATTTCTATTACAAGTTAATGTTCCTAGCCCTTAATGCTAAAATAATACAAACACATGAACTAGCTTCAAACATTCTAAACAATAACACTAGGAAGAGTCAGGACAAGCTCAGAATCAGCTGAATTTCATCTTCTCTGCATGAAGACATTCCTCAGGCAATCTATTCAAATGCCCACTTCCTGGCCCCTCAAAACACAGAACCAAAAACTTTCCAGATTTCCTCTCTCAACTGTTTCCTATTAGCACTGGCATCCTCAAGTAGGTTAAGTGAAAAAACAGGAGTATTTGGGGCTAAATTTGGCCAAGAACCAACTTGGGTTTACAGGGTTTGTGGCTGGGTTGCGAAAGAAACATGGATTTCTTGGAACAAAACAAAGTTATCACTGTTTCTATCCTGCAACAAATATCTCTAAAACAGGCTATGCATCCACAGTCTCTTCCCTTTTTTTTTTTTTTTCAGTTAGGAAAATTAGTTTTAGTATCGAAATACTTTCATAAAACAAACCAGACCTATTGTCTCGAATGTAAAAGAGACTTGCCTAGGCCCACAGAAGAGCTAACACCACCAACAAATGTCCCCACACACAGTGAGCCTCCCCAGCAGTCCTGCAGAGAGCATCGGTGTTTTCTAATGTCCCCAAACTGCTGCAGAATACTAACAACTGATTTGTAAATTGGGAAAGAATTACATAGAAGACAGATTAAGGAAGAAAAAGAGCATAAAGACCGAACAACAGAGGTAAGAGAAGAAAGCAAACTCTCAACTGCATCCCTACCAAGCTACAATAATGGAATAGTCCTTTGCTGATTTCAAAAGAAAATCTGCTTGCCCTAAAAAAGCCAAGTTACTCACCAAAGACATCTCTACTCTTAAAAAAAAACCCAAACAACAAAAACAACCTCCCCTGTAAAGAAATTAAAGCAAAGCAAAACAAAACAAACAACAACAAAAAAAAACCCTGAAGGCCATACAATAATAAATTCTGAAGCAACAATAACCAGGACTTCATGCTTACTACAGAGCCCTAATTTCTATAAGCTGATAATGAAACCCTTTCAATACAACCAACAATCTCAGAAAACCAGACAGTTCATTTTATTCCCCCTTTTTACACAAAAAAATTTCAAATCCTCACAAGAAGCAAAGGCTTACTTATTCTCCTCCATTCCCTGCATTTTTTACTGCTAGCTCTAGTGCTGCTACAATCCTGGGAACACTGACAAATCCAGCACTCATGACATTTAATAACATTTAACTTCTGTGTTGCCAGATGTCCACATCTGTATATGCACAGGGCAAGGCTATAAAGGCAGAAACCACTCTGATCTCATGTACTCTGCATATTCAGTCTTTGCTGCCTCTCATAGCTATAAAATACAAAAAAGTAAAATACTAAAATTAGACCACAGAAATGTCTTGTTTCTCTCCAGTCTACTACTTCTCCTTCTGCAAACATGTAATGATGAATTAAGAATTGAGAATTGACTACTACCTTCTCCCTTAAGTTCCTAGGTCATTTTCTATCCAGCCAAGAAGGCCTCCCTTACTTGCTAATCAAGTTGCTGAAATGTAGTATTTGCCATTTCTGATACTTTTACCTGTTCTCCCCCAGGCACAATTATTTCCTTTGCATCTTACATGAAGCAGAACCATACAGCTGACATAAGCCCCTCGTTCTTCTACACCATACCTGGCAGGGCAGCTCAAGGTAAAGACAAAACTATTCCAGCAAATGTAGCTTACAAGAAAATATCTCTCTAAGTTCATACCACAATAGCAAACTTACAGAATGAAGGAACCCAAAGAACCCAAAATGGACACCAAATCTCCCAGAGCTCTAGTACCCAAATTGTGGGTAGAGCTGAAGTTACTCATCATCCTGCCCTTACTGTTTCCTTTCCTAGTACATACTAACACAACTGCTGCTGTCCTGATCTACAGAAACCTCTCACCCACAAACTCCTGAAATTATCACCCAAACCCATCTTAAGAGGCCTCCAGTTTGAGTGCTGCAACCCATCTGCCTCCCTCATGAACCACAGATGAACCACACAAACACAGCACTGCAGAGGCTCAGTCATCTCCTCATGCCACCACTAAACCCACGGCAGCACAGGGACAGTATCTGCAGCTTCCACTGGCATTTGGAGAACCAGCTTGTGGGGGCAGTGGCCCCACTGCCCATATTTATCCTTTGTGCACTCAGAACACACCAGCCCTGTGGTTCACTCTACAATACTCCTACATCTGGGGCAATCCAGCATGCTGCTATCATAAGTGCTGTGGAACAGCTGGGGATGTTTTATGGATGCCTGGGCAGCCCTGATGCTGCAGTCCTCATGGCTGAGCACAGCTATGGTGACCTTACAGATAAAACCAAACCCAGAGCAACACAATGTCCCTGCCACAGTGCAACACAGACAGGCACAGTCCCGGGGCTGCTTGCAGCACGCTCTGGCTATGGACATCAGGTTCCTGCTACGGCCAGCTCTCCTGGAGCACCCACTGGTGGAAGCTGCCAGCTGCCCTGAATACTCTTTGCTTCACCATATTCAAACAAGTCTGACAGAGAACAAGAAACATATGAAATTCACAGCATTCAAGGAAAAAGAAATCTACCATGAGCCTGAATATGAGGTTTTACAGCACTGCTAAAATTACCTAACTCCTCTTCCCGTTTCCTCCTCCAGTTCTTGCTGAAGTACTGTACCTAAAAATACTCATGCATGAGAACAACGTGCCAGTAAGATCTGTCTTGGAAAAATATCACTAAACCAACACAATTCATCTTTTTTTTTTTCTTTTATTCTTTAAACTAATTTCAGCAGTGGCACCTGATAGCATTTTTTTTTTTTTTTTTTTTTTTAATTCTTTAAACTGATTTAACTGATTTCAGCAGTGGTACATGATAGCATTTTAATAAACATGATCTAGCTCACTCACTTTCTTCTCTCTTTACTAGGGCAATTCTGGTATAGGAACAAAACAAAAAAAAAAAAAAAAGAAAAAGAGATAAATGTTTCATGCACTTAAAAACCAGATTTCCCTGGTTTCTGTGGAAAAAAACAAAAATAGGGAAGTTTCACAACAAGCTAGCACACTAACAAGCCTTCTGGGATCCACCTCCTAAACTGAAAAAGGGTAAGTACATTTCCATAAAGACTGAGATCAGTAATGACCTAAAAACTAAACATGAAGAAATTCTACCTGCAGTATTGTCAGCATTTGTTTAAACCCTTCATGCTTTTTTCCTGCAAAAGCTAGTAACTCTCCTTTGGACTCTTAAGAAAAAAAAAAAAAAAAAGACAACCAAACCCAAACAGGCTCAGTAAGTTTGACAAGCAGAATAACACATTTGCAAATATCTCAGCAACAGTAGCTTGTACACAGGCAGCGCAGACTGTGCAGCCATGGGACTCCTCAGAAGCCTGATCTCTGCCACCGCTACCCTGGTAAAACTGGGGGAGTGAACAGTTTCGTACCACTGCCCAAGTACTTGGAATTTCTTCCCCTCACACAGCCAAAATCAGAAAGCCCGGAGGTGACAGATCAGCTGTGCCTTAAACCCTGCACAAATGCCAGTCACAGAAACAATGAGGTTGGAAAACACCTCTGAGACTGATTCCAATCCATGACCAAACACCACCTTGTCAAGGGGACCATGGCACTGAGTGCCAGATCCAGCCTTTCCATAAACACCTCCAGGGATGGGGATTCCACCATCCCCCTGTGCAGTCCATTCCACTGTCAAACCACGTTTTCTGTGAAGAAATTCCTCCTAATGCCCAACTTAAAATTCCCCTGGTGCAACTTGAGGCCATTTCCTCTTGTCCTATCCCTTATTACCCAGGAGACCAACCCCGCCCTGGCTACAAGCCCTTTTCAGGCAGTTGGAGAGAGAGAGATAAGGCCTCTCCCCTTGAGCCTCCCCTTCTCCAGTCTAAACCACCCCAGCAGCTCCTCAGTCCCTTTACTGCACACAGAGCCAAAGGGATCGGCCGCTTCAGTCACCCAGAGATGCTCTGTGCTGCACGGCACGGCACGGCCAGCTTCGCGGGGATGCTGCACCTCAAGGCAGGGCGAGGTTCTCTCTGTCAGCAGCAGGGCGAGGGACACACGCCAGGAGCAAAAAGCAAGTATGTAGTTCAGTCCACGATTCGTGGGAGGGAGTTATTTATAAATTTCGGCAGAGCAGCCCTCGGTCCTGAGCACACCGGTCTCGAGCTCCCGGGGTGCCCCGGGCACTTACCCTTGTGGTGGGTGATCATGAGGACGATGGGCACGGAGGGCCGGTCGCTGAACACCTCCGCCTTCTGCACCAGCGCCTCCCGCACCGCCCCGAAAGTGTTGAGGATGATGAATGGGCGGCTGCCCACGAAGAGCCGGAAGATGCTGCCGTACATCTTGGTGAGGCCGGTGAGGAAGACATGGGGCGAGAAGGCGGGGGAGACCCGGTTGCCCTTCACATCCACCGCCCACCTGCGCAGCAGCGGAGGCGGCAGAAGGGCGAAGGCGAAGTTACCCACGAGCGGCCAGGGCGCGGGGCCCGGCGGCAGCCCCGACAGCGCCCGCGGCCACCGCCGCAGCAGCCAGTAGCAGCCGAGCCAGCACAGGGCCACCAGCAGCAGCTCGGTGGCCGTGGGCGGCCGCAGCAGCCACGTCCGAGCTTCCGTGCTCGTCCCCGCCATCTCCCAGGCAGCGGGACCGGCGGGCTCGGCTCGCCGCCGGCGCGTAGCGGTTTAAGATGGCGGGGGCGGGCGGGAGGCGAGGCCGGCGGCGCCCTGACCCCGGCCCGCCGGGCTGAGGGCGGGAGCGGGGCCCGGCCCGACACCGCCCCCGCGCCCGGCAGGACGTGACAGAGCCCCAGTTTATAAAGGATTAAACATTAAACCCGCGTGTCCTGCTCGTGTAAATAAAACAACTATGACAACAAAAGTGAGCGCTCCTCCCCACACCCCCCCGCCCGTAGGACTTGCTTTCAAATGCTCCTCACGCAAATACCTATTTTTTTTAGCGGTTTAGAAGGGAAGGAAATGCAGATGATCTTTTTTTTCCCATTCCCAAACACAAAAACCCGGCAGTTCGAAACTTTCTGTTTCCAGGCCAAAGACGAACCTAGAATCATGTCCCAGCTCTTAAATTTTATAGGAAAGGGCACTTAAATTTTAGAGGAAAAAGACATGTAGCTCTCCTCCTTTCTCTCCAATAAAACAGCAGTAAAAAACCCCCAAACCCAGACACAAAAACCCAAAACACACCCAAACACCCCAGTCCCCCAAACCCACCCAGAACTGGTTTTGAGGGTAACTTACCCCTCCCTCTAGTAAACACTTTAGTGCACTTTCCCCAGCGGATCAGCAATATGAAATTTAACCTCTAGAGAGGTAATTAGACATCAAAACCTGCCACTGTCTGGTCTACCCAATAATTTACTGCAGCACCAGTGGGTTTAGTAAGTGCTCTTGATATACTCTTACTAACAGAGAAAAGTACTCATGTTTTGCCCACAGTGCTCCTTCTATAAAGTGATCCCCAAAAAAACCAAAAAAATTGACAGAATAAAGGGAGTTTTCCCATTAAAAAGGGTTTTGCTAAACAAACTATTTTTTAAACAGTTGAACATTCAGTAAAGATAGTGACAAGTTGCTCATAAAATAGTGGCTGAACTGTATTAAAAAGGTTTTATTGCAATTATACAGAAGTTACAGCAAATTCAGAAATACATAAAGCTTTAAATAGTCAAGGTCAATTTTCCTCTGAGCAATTAAGGCAACTGTCTCTTTAATCTAAACAGCAAGCAGACATTTTACCAGCCATGGATTGAACAGAAGACAAAAACTAAGAACAGATTTAGACTGGCAGAATAGAATACAGCTTTTATTTTGTCCATATTTGGCAGAAATTCAGCAACTAGTTATAATGTATACAAATAAAATGCATCTATTAGAAAAAATATATAAAAACAGATGAAAATTTAGCTGAACTAAAGATATTTTAAATCTGAGTCTCCAGAAAAGTTTAAGTTCTGTAGTGTGAAAATAAGAAGGTAAGGTATTCAGCACAGCTGAAACACATTACTGTTTTTGTCTATTTTCTTTGTACAAGAGTAATCTAGCCTCACTTCCTTCTCAGTCTAGTCAAGAAGCTGAACTAGATTTAAAAAATGCCTTCCTTCCCTGTGTATGCAGCTGGAAGTTTGGTTTCAGTGGTATATGGCCAATTCTAGGATATCCACAGATTAAATTGCACATTTTGATAGGAAGTATGATTAATTTCAAAAATTTAAGTGATAATATATAACTTTTCCTCTAACATACCAGTACATAAGTGGATTTTCCAAGTTAAAATAATAGCTGTTGCAACATTAAAATCAGTTCCTCCAAATTAAAATTAGAACCAAGTAGCCTCTTTGTAAAGCATGAAACTAACAGCAAAACATATCCAAGTACTTCACTAATATTCTGCATACCCCTAATAACTACATATACAAGCTTCAGCACTACAGTACTTTCCATGGAAATCCTTCCTGTTCAGTCCTAGTAATAAAAAACACACCCCCTTTAATTCTGCACTCAAGGAAACACAGTTCTTCAAACTCTTTACTCCTAACTGAGTAATCAAAGCATTTGGTGACTCCACTTTTAACAGGTCAAACAATAGCTCCACGTAACAAGCAAACAAAATCCCCACCAGAGTACAGAAATAAATAATATAATGAAAAATGCTTTATAATGAAAAAAAGCATTAAAAATAGAATAGTCCAAAGGAACAAATTTTTCCTTAAAGATAACCAAGTTACAGAGTTAAGGCCCAAGCAGAAGCATTGGAAGTTTAATTAACACAGTAAACTCTCAAAAGCAACATAATATTCTTTGCTCAAACTTTATCTTAATCTTTGAATTCTATCAACACTTAGGAGTGTTGACCAGCTGTTCTCTGCAGCTGCTGACAGCACCCATTCTCTTCAGGTATGGGCTATGGTTTTATATGCTTTATTTGAGCTTGCAGGCAACTTTAGGATTTTTACTTCCACAGGCACTTTATTCATAAAAACACTCTCCTCACCAAAAGCACATTGAAAATATTTGAAAGTTCTGAGTTACACTACTGCACTGAAACATGTTTCTGTAACACAGCAGCTCAAGCTAAAAAAATCACACTTTTGGTCAAGGGCATGTCACATGCTCATAAAGGTTTTGTTTTTGCATTGAAACATGGAGCCATTTGCCTCTTAATATTTCTGTAAGTATTGCACTTTTTTTGTAAATTAAAAAAATACAGTCCATTTTTTCTGAAGCATCTAGTAATTAAGACAAGAAAATTATATTTCAATGTGGCTTAGGACTATTATGGATGACTTTGTTCAATCTTTGGCTTTTTCAAGGGTCCTACTATAAAAGCAGGCACTGTGATAAGTAGGAAGACAATCCAGACTATTGTTACTAGACTATCCACCTTCACACAACAAGAACCCCACCCAGCCCTGGTTTTATCCTAAATGGTGGGCTTGTTTCTGCTGTAAATTAAGGTGCTCTAAACATGGAATATTCTTTGCATTGATAGAGAAGTTCCATCAAATAGATCTTAGAGAAGCCCATTTACTTCTTGAAGTACTAGGTAGAAGTGGTTAAAGAGAATTTATTCTACTATAAGAAGCACAGCAACTTCGGGTACAACCACTTCAGAGCAGAGGGATGTGCTGCAGTGCCACCAGTGCACCCGGGCATGGCACCCGCTCCGCACGCTCACGTGTCCAGGTGAATGAAGGGCATCATGCTCATCTAACAGCTGACTCCAGCAGGAATGCCATACCTGTCACAGGCAGATACTTTCACAACTGTAAGCTCACGAGTAAGGGCCTTTAACAAGAATGAAAAGCTCGGTGTTCTCTGTGGATAGAAAGTGTAGGTATTGCTGCCCAAAAAATGCCTCTTGGAACAATCTGGAAGTGCGCTATTATATACAATAAAATCACAACCAAAGGCAGGGGGGAAGGCAACAATAACTTCTGCAACAGAAGGCACGATAGTTTTTCATCTTAAGAAAAAGTTGCTTGTGAAGCTTTCAAACAAAGCTAGAAAATTACTTTGTTGTCTCACAATCTAAACAATGTAGTTTAAGGTTCTTTCACATGTTTTTATAATGTCCTACTGTGAACTGCCTTGACAATTATGTTGTTTCAATTCTGTTCTTTAGACAGCTACATGGTCATATCCATCACAAGTTGTTCGGGTTTTTTTAAAGTTTCAGCAAAATATACATCTACACTGTATAATCAGTGTCCTCCTAATACAGCTTTGTCCATTTCACATCTCCTCCCTCTGTCTCCAAGGCTTCAACAGTGATAATGAAGTCAGAGAATTATTTTATTGAAACTACCAGCCTGTCCCTTAATCCTACCTAGTGAAATTCTTAGATTTTCTACTGAGTTTCAGAAAATTAGCTATTCTAAATGCATGAAAATTTAGAATTGGACATATAATTTAGAACAACATACACTCCTAATGTTTTCCTGCATTAAAATACTATTTTTTGCCATTTTTATATAAAACAAATAGAAAAGTATTGTATTTATATAAAAAGCATTTGGAACAGGCTTAAAATGTAGAGAAATTTTATTTTATTGAAAGGTGTCACAACAACTTTCCTTAGTGTTCATGTGTAATAAGAGAATACCAGCTCTTTATAGTAGTTGAGATTATTAGCACCATAAATGGATATAAGGTTTTTGATTTTTCAAGATGTGGGTGGTTATGTAAATAGTCCACCTGTATTCATTAGTACACAAGCTGACAGTAAAAAATTTCAACTTTTATGTGCCAAGTAAACCACATAGGACAATTTCTTCAACATGTTTTACCAAATTCGCAGTTGACAGTGAAGTGACCATGACAGACAGCACCTCTGGAGGGAAAAGCTAGAAGATGCTCCCATTATTGCTTCTTTTTTTTTTAAGTACAGCTAGTGCAATAGTTGGTTTTGGTTTGGGGTTTTATAACACAGTGAACAGATTCAGCACAAATCACAACCCTAGCTCTAGTACCTCTTGCACATACAGAAAACCGTAACACTCAGTTACCTGACAAAGTATCAGTTATAAAGTGTCATCCTGAAAGTTTTACAACATAAAAGCCAACTCTTGCTAATTGTGAAGAATTTCTATGAAAATGACACCCAATTTGCAAAGATCAGTAGAAACTACAGCACCAAAGGTTTCTCAGTTTGCTATTGTAGTAGTCTGCTGCATGGTGTTTGCAGAACTGGACCCTGAAGCTACAGAACAATGCTATCTTATCAGCTTCTTATCATGCATGCATTACAGCATTCTCATATTGCCTTGTAAGGTTCCTCAGCAGCCAATGTCTTTTCTTGCCTAGTTTTCCCAAGGTTGGATATACAGCTACAATTGACATAAAGAGCTACGGATACCCAGGATCCAACATAGGAGAAGTCCTGCAAGAAAAGCTGTCAGCTAACAAGGATGAAACCCTGTTGCAGCCAAAGTGAAGTCCTGTGCTGTTTTTAGGGAAGTCTTGAGAGTTTGCAAAGTCACATGGAAAGCATGAGAACCACAGCCATCAAACCATTATTTCTGCTTTTACTTTCAGGTTCCTTGGTATACCCTGACCCCAAAAGCTAGCAGAACCTTTTTCACATCTCACACATGCTCTCCTGAATCATGAAAATGAACACAAACAAATGTGCTAAGAAGCAAGAATTGATTCCTGAGGGAAAAGAAGTCCTAGCATGTTAGGTTTTGAAACTTGCAATTATTTTCAAGTACTATTTGTGCGAAGATGTGTCTCACAAGAATACCTTTGGCTTTAGAGTTCATTATGAAGCCTTCTCAAATGTAAATTCTACTCTTCTGTATTGAGCCATTTAGAAAACACAATTAGTAGAAGGAGATGCAGTTAGGAGTCTAAAGCAAGCAGCACAGGCTTCAGCATAAGCAGGATTTTGAGTGGCAACAAACTGAAACAAGCGGAATGCAAACCGAGTTTCTACAGAAGTAACAAAGCACTGCTAAGTTACTCAAAATGTAAGAGGGATTAGAGTTCAGTAATATTGTTTAAGGTTCATACACAAACACTTCAATGGCAGAGGTAAAAGTAAGCAGGGAGATAAATTTCCTCTTGGTATTCTCAGTACACCTGCCATCTTTAATAAAAAACAAATGTAGAAAGCAAACAGTCCCACTCATCTTAAATGCAACTTACACACCTGAAGTAACACCGATGTGTATGCTCCGCTGAATTGGAATGCAGCTCTCTGATGAGTGGTTTTACTGCCTTTTCAGCCCCATTTATAGTTTTGATTTTTAAGTGACCTTCACTTTTTAACTATTGCCACTTTAGTACTGCACTGTCAGTCCAAAAGAAGCTCAAAAGGACAGGTAGAGATGGCTCACAGCCATCTGTACTGTACAAGTACAACCTGGTTTGCCTTCCTAGGGAATCTGCTGTATACTGAATCCAATATTGCTTATGCCAGAGAAACCCCTTCCACACCCATGTGCCTGTGTGGTGCCTGACCCCAACTGCTCGAGATGCTTCTATTTCAGACTCATTTCTGACCACTTTTTCTCTCAATTAAAAAACAAAACAAAAAACCCAAAAGTCATCTTCAAATATATTTCAAAGATACATGGTGAAAACTGAACTCAATTGGCACAAAGGAGATTCTTCTGTAGTAATTCTTTGCAGTGTTACAAATGCTAACCTCCTAAAGACCATATTATGCTGAGAGAAAATGCAAGAGCTAACATTATTTAGGCACAGCTTGAAAGATTATTTCCCCTAGAAGAAACCTATGCACAGATGCCTCAAAACACCTCATGTACTGCATCCAAGGGATCTGCAATTTTTGCACTGACATTTACCAGAACTAAAACCAGTTATATTTAACCATACAGACATAAAGGACAAAAACACTCCTCATCCAGCAGAAGGACTGGGTCAACTGCTACAGAATCATTTTAAAAAGTGCAAACACTAACTATAATAGTATAATACAGCATCTTTTTTCAACTGTAGTACAGATAAGACTGCGTGTAACATGCAGCCAATATAATTTTAATTCAAAAAAATCACACACTGCTCCTCCCAGTAAGAAGTGGTCTGCCTCTCTTCCCACCTAGTTTGCATCTTAAAGGTTAGTACACAGCCAAAAGTCACAGAAAACAAACAGCTAGCTATTTGCTCAACTCAGTCCTTTGCAATTAAAAAAATTTCACTGAAAATTTTGTGGTTTTTTAATCACTGATTTACAGTAGAAAGAAGAAATCTTCAACACCAGTATTTCATATACACGTTAGAGACTGCACAGTACTGTTGCTTCATCTTTAAAAATCATTCAGGCGTTGAGTGTTTAGTTAGGAAAGATGAGTTCAGAACTGGAAAGTTTCCTTGAAATACATGAGCTACCTGTATTCAGCCTGACATTCTTATGTGCTGCTTTCTAGGTTAATAGGATTTAATCATATGGTTAAATCCATGGAAACTGAAGCCAACTAGAAAAAAGCTTCAGTATGTTTTAAGCATTGCAGCACTTGGTTCTTGTTTTAGAAACTATTAGTGACAGCTTGTAGGAACAACTTATAAAAGACTGCTAATAATATTTAAGTACTTTAATCTCCAAGCATTTCTCACTGGGTTGGGTTTTGTTTTTATATTGTAAGTTATGGATGAGAGCCAGCAGAGATACACAGCTGTACCATAGAATGATGTGCTTAATACTGCTGCTTGCTTATAGGTCTGGTTTGTTGGGGTTTTTTGCAGATTACACAATTTAAATCTACACTTCGTGCAAGTTAGATGTAGTTTTAGCTCAATTTCATGCAAAAAGCAATATATGATCATCATCTACTTCAGTGTTTTCATCTTCCTTCCTTTTCTTTATAAATACTACAACAAATGCCTTTGTCTCTATTCTGTTTCACAGCACTTCTCTCTGGATTCTAAGAAGCATCACAGAGCAGCACATGAAGGCTTACTTATAAGCAAAGTCACTTGAATGGCATGCTAGGATATTTTTCTCATGTGTACTTAAGCAGCAGTACTCATTTGAATGATGCCTAACAGGAGTATTTACTTTTAAGATACCTCTTCTCAGTAACTGAATTTAAGACATTGATTTTGCAATGCCTGGAGAATTGAATACTTTTGTGTTGAAGTGTTCTATCTCATAGCATCACTCTAATCTTGTGTGCCCATATAAGAGATCTAGATAAGTCCAAAACATGTATATTGTGAAAATATCAAGATGACAATGGAGTTTTACAACTATTACATCTGCCAATACGGCAAAATGGTTCCAGTCCATCTGGCAGCTTGGACCCATTTTCAAAATAATTCATTTCAAAATGAATCTTTAAGATTAAAGGTTTATGCATTAAAAAAAAAAAAACAAAACAAAAACCACAACAATGAAAAAAACCCCAAAAACAAACCAACAAAACCAAAACCACCAAAAAAAAAAACAAACCCCAAAAACCCCACTAACAAAGAAAAAAAATCCCACAAGCAAACATAAAAATCAACATAGAGCCATGGGAAAGCTCATTTAAAGTTAAGGGAAAGACTTCACCTTGCACTGAAGCTAATGGATCTGTCTCTAGAACAGTAAACCCCATCTAATGAAATGAGAAAAAGAATTTGGGTTAGTACCAAACAACTTGGGATAAACTGTCTACTCAGATACTATTGATAAGAGAAAGCCAGAGATTGAACACATTCTGATTTAAGACCCTAGTAAGTGGATTTGCAATAATCCAATTAAGAGAATGGTCTCATCTCTTTTAAGACTTTCCAGTTCTATCTCTGTTGCTGAGCTTTATTTCTCTATTACATGAAGGTAGTGTATTTTAACAAACTTTTTTTAGTTTCCTTCCCTCCCAACCAGGTTTTTTTTAAGGAGGGCAGCAAATCCAGGGTTTATAGCAGTGTTTAGCAGAGCTATTTTTGCTACTACGCCACCTGTGGCGACCCTTCCAAGAAAACAGCAGTGAAGGATGACTAACAGTTAGTACCTTTTATGTCCACATGGGAGTGCTAAGCACGTACCGAAAAAGGTGTCCATTTATAGTGCTTTCAAGTAGACGTTAACAATTTCTGGCATTAGGTGTAAGCATCTGTAGCACGACCACTTAGCAGCATACTTCTTTAAATGTTCAAGTTAACATTTAAAATCCAGATTTAAATTTACATTAGGCATTTTGAGAAAGCCCACCAGCATTTAAGTCATACTGATAGGTTAGGTGTACAAATGTAGCAGGGTTTTTTTATTAAGTGTCCGTAAAGCTCAAAATGTAAATGCTCTTCAGTCGAGAGGAGCATGTTATAGTCACAGGAAAGGGGCAGCTCATGTGACATCTTAGAAATGTTACTGTAACTAGGAAAAAATCATTAGCGACACACTGCTAAGTATTGGGCATATACAGACCAAATAATATACCAACCACTTGGTGGTAGGCCTAAGGAGAAGTCCAAGTTTCTCCTTTTTACCTACTGCAATTTCTTGCTTCTTGTGATGAAACCATACTTTAAGCTTCATGGTATTTTTATACAATGATCAAGATGTTACAATTATTAATTTTTACATAGCAGTTGTAGTTTGTATTGGATAAACTACTATAACAGTAAGAACGAGAATATACCATTACTTACCCCATTTTATCACCTTACACATAGGCCTAAAGAGTCAACAAATACAGCTACATCATCCAAGTTTGTAAAAGCACTTAAAAGCTATTGAGAGCATAGAAAATTGGGGCTTTCTGCTATTTAAACACACATCCCTTTGAGAGCTTTCATACAATGGATAAATATTAAGTACTTAAGGGAGGACTGAGCCAGAACAGGAATCAAGTATTTCGAGCTAGAGCTGCTACTTAAACTTACTTTCCTGTTGCATTACAATAGAAGTCTCTATCAAATTCAGCAGTACAATGAAAGCTCACACAGCCCAACAAAAGCAGAGTCTTTACTTTGTTCTATTTAATCACGTTCACATTTTTTTTCTTTCAGAAACAGGAATAAGTGTAAAAAACCCCAAACACCCCATCCTGCATGAAGAAAGCCTGTTTTGCAGATCTATTACAGAAATCCCATTGTCAAAGTGTTTATTTTTCAGCCACCAGATGAAAACCACTGCTTAAGCCCCTCAGGTAAAGCTTTTCATCATGCTATTTTCAAGGCACAGTGACTACTAATGAAATCCGTAACTTCTAAAAGATCGTATTACTACAAGAGGATTAACATGACCATACTTGCGGTATCACAAAGCTTAGATTTTAGCTTTAAAAATTGTGATCCATGAAGTAACTTGCTTAACTAAGTTTTTCCAAAAATGTATTGAAAGGAACACTTTTTATTGTATTATTTTGATAATGCACAAAAATATTTGAAATGCACAAAAATATTCTCATGTACAACTCAGAGAAATGATCCCCTTAACTGAAAATTATTATATTGGAATATTCTATTTAATTTTATAACTTTAACTCTGGACTTTTTAAAAACAAGTTGTCATTATTTAAACTGTGTTCACACTTGTCACTCAGTTCAAGACATTCTTAAAATATGCAGCATTTCATTTATATCAGTATCACCTCAATACAATGCAGTTTTATCTTTTCATTAGGTTTTAGTGAATATCTGAAAATAGTATTGAGTTAACTGCAGAAATTAATACAGAATACAAATGGCTAAACATGGTGTGCTAATTTTCTACTTTGCTTTCACAACAATATGAAACAACATAAACCAACAAGAAACAGGTAGCTGTTAATCTGTGGTTTTGTTACATGTTCACCTCATGGTAGTTACCCCCATACTCAGCCAATTTGTTTAGATAGCCATTTCAGCTGGACTTCAGACCTGGGAAAAAAAGGTAATCTGTTTTTGAGTTCTACCACAGTGTTATTCAATATGAAATTACGTTGTAATTGAAGAAATGCTGCTGTTGTAGATATTTCATCTTAGCACTTTTTTGGTTGTTTGGTTTTTTTTTTTAAAGTAAGTCACAGAAACATATGTCAAGAGGTAAAAGACCAAAGAAGAAATTCAGTGGAGAACCATGGCTCCCAAGCAAACCTGCTACATAGCTTCAGCAAGAGATTGCTACTAAAATTAAAATGTTAATTTGAAATGTAGCCCCATTTTGGACCTGGCCTTGCAATCCTCAAGCAGGTGAGAGCTGTACAACTTCTGCCTGCATCAAGAACTCTAGGATTACTCTTCCCAGTAAATAATTTTTTTAAGGTATGTGCTTTTGTGTAAAGCTGCATCTATAGACACTGACAGGCACTGGTAGAGCTATATACACAAGGCCAGTTGTAATTCAAGATTCAGATTTCGAAACTCTTACTAAAAATAAAATTTTAGGCTCCTTGAGCTCTGATGCTAGCAGCTGTTTATAATTTGCAAATTCGTCAGGTAACACAGCTATTTAAATATAAAATTACTAATAAAAATGTAAAAATTGGTATATAGTAGAATACATGGGAGTTAACGGTGGTAAGTAGTATTTTAGGGTCCTAAGATATTCATACCCACAGTGTGTAAAAAAAGTCAGACTTGCTTCCAGCTGTACCAGTCACACAAAGGCCTTACCTTCATTAGCAAGAATAATGCAACAAACCACTTCCCATAATTGTGGTTTTTTTTTATACACCTCAATATGCCAATATCGTGCCTTTACATGTTAGCATGTTTTTGCCCTTACGCACTCCAGAGCTCTGAAGATGAGACTTTTGGGTGCTTCTGTGGATGAGTGATAGTAATGGAAGTGTTACTGTGGTCTTTGGCACCTCTATCTCATTAATAAACACAGTCCTGCTCCATTTTTTTTCTTTAATAAAAAAATCCCATCAGTGGTGCATTTCATTAGCACTGAAGAGTAGAATAGGTCTGTACAGCCGGATGAGAGGAAAACATCTGAAATGCAATATATGCGTCTACAATTGTCTTTCCATCAATTGCACAGAAGCTTGGTCCACTTCTTCAGTTACAGTCTTCTTAAGAGCTTTGGTTACAGCATTAATGTTTTGGTAAAAAAAAAATCAGAAATGAAAAAACCAGAGCAGATGCTTTCCTTCTTTTCTTCAGGTAGATTTTTCATTGTCCTCTCCGGTCTTCTGAACCCGTGAATACTTTTTGCATGAAGACTTGAAGCAGCTGGGAGGCCAAGATATTGGCCAGGAAAAACTGCAAGGAACAGAGCCCTGCACATTCTTCTCGAAGAAATAAAATATTGGATACCACCATGCTCGAGAGAGAAAATTCGTCTGCGAAGACACCTTTAAAGTCTGTATTGGCACAAGCGTGTAAAGAGGAAAAGGCAACTGTCAGTTTAAAGGCTTATCATCAATTACGTTGAGTCAAGGCAACAGCAAAAACACAATGCATGTGCATGCATTTCCACAAAGACAGTGAATACTTAGCCTAAAAATACAGAATTGAGACAGATATTAGAGTCCAAATAATACTACAAACTGAGCATTTTTACCACAAAGGGATGCTTTGTTGCTGTGCAAAATTTGGGGCAACAAAGCACTCAAGACTTTTTCAATATGAGTGCTTTCAGGCATGTCATGTTTCCACTGATGAGTAATAGTTGAGAATTAGACTAAAAGGGCTTAACAACAATGCTTCTACTTGAAAGTGTTGTTGAAACAACAGCAGCAACAACCTTCTGAACCGTGTACCTTTAACAACATTTCCACAATAATTGTCATTAGAATTGTAGGAATGTCTAGGTAATATCAGTTATCCAGAAATTTTATTACTCAACTACTGTTTATTCATAAGCTGAGACAAAGAACCAATGACAGCATTAAAACTTCAAAAGCCCAAAAAAAAGGGCAAATTAATATTATTTAATTAAATAACAATGAAGTGAAACTCCTTGCCCATTCTGTTTCAACTTCAATATGGAACATCTATTTTTATTCTGAAATTAAGAACTAACTTGAAGCTTCAGGCAATTTTAACAAAAGCAGGCTACACAGTGATTGTGAAGGGCGCTCACCTTTTCATTAGCCATGGAGTGGTACCACCAGAAGAGCCGTGTGGTGATATAGTAGGCAATGATGACATCTACGGTGTAGTGTTCATGAGCAACCAGGATACAGATGATGCCAGCAGCACTCATCAGCCAGCAGATCAAGTGATACCACCAGAAATGACGTGGTGAATCTGTGAGACAGGGAGGTGATGGGGAAAAAACACAGCAAAAAGCCATCTGTTATTCTAACAATCCACAAAAGCAAGAGGGAAAGAAAGGAAAATTAATTTAAGGCTGCTAAATTTGAAAACATAACTCATATCACACCGGTACAGATCTACTATCACACTGGTACAGATTCCCTGCTTTGATTTGTATGAATCCACATAATGAATTACGCAAACTTAATGCAGTGTTCTTACTTTTTAAAGTGAACACAAGATGTTTAATCTTGAACACAAGATTAGTTAGACAACACTGCCACCCATTTTCTAGTCAAATTAAGTTTTCCAGTCAAATCATTTCTAGGATTTAGGGTGCAGAGGAAGAGACAAAATTGAGGTAAAACATACACTTTGGTTATTTAACTTAGTTGTATATAATCTTTTCTTTTCACAGTCTATATTTGAGTAAACTGAAAGCTCTAGAATTGATACAACCTGAGCAGAGATCACAAATTAAACAGAAGAGACACTCATTTTAATTATTAGGTTTTAATTAATTTGCACGAAGCCTCAGTTCCATGCAACAAAATACACTGTACAGAAAAGGGCAGTACGTGAATTTATACCCTTTAATGAAAGAGTTAACAAACGGGAGCAAAGTTATTCAAAATGCATTTCAGCCACCTCAATGGAAAAGTTCTCCTGTACTTCTTTCCCCATTGAAAAAAATGCCCTGAGTGTCACAATGATCATTCATAACTTCTGACAAGCTAACTGGCTTCATTTCACTCACAGTGGGAGGTTTTGGCACCTCTTGCCTTGTCAGCCTTTACTTTCACACAATACCAGCAGAAAAGCTACTGATCTCAACAAGCCTGCCCAGTAGGCTCTTAGAGGCCTGTGCAAAACAATAACTGTAGTGCCACTTTTTGGTGCAAGTGTCAAAACAAATTCTCTTAACTCTTCCCAAAACCCTGCAGACAGTTCTCCATCTACTGATTTTTTATTTTTTTAAGATAAGAAGCCAAGTAGTCTCAAGAAGTTGATGAAATCAGCATTGAGCAAGACAGACATACCAAGGCTAAAAATATGAATAACTATTCTGGCGAAAAATGGTGTGCAGACAATAAGTGAAAAAATGGCAGAATATGAAAGGAAGAGAAAAGCACAGCAAAAACTCCACTAAGCCAGGCATAAAAACCTTAGCATGTATCTTACACCAAAGACATGTTACTGAAAGAGCAAAAAAGACTGCCACAAGCAGCCTCTAATTCAGAGCAATTATAGGGCTTATGCCCTGGTTCAGATAACATTTTCGTCATTACATGGGAGGTAAAAAAAGGAAAGCTATGCATTTCTCATTTATAGAGCATAATTTCAGTGAAATATATGCATAACAATTAGGCAGCAGTCAAAGAGCTTATTACAAAAATTTGTATGACAAAATTGCACCAATCCTTTATAATATAAAGTACAGGAGAAATTAGCCCAGAAAATATTGGGTTGTCTTCATGTTTCCTGGTACAACTGAGTATGTGAATAGCATTAAAATACAACATAACAGACAACACAAGGCAAACAATGATGATTCTCAGACCTAAGAATCATCAGACTGTAATCAGCATCTTAAATCACTGTTCAAAGAAGAACATCTCAAATCTGCAATTTGGAGTCTATCACATTCAAGAGGTGCTTTTATATTGGGATTTTTTGTTTAAGGCAGAATGCAGCACTGCAGCACCTTGTTCCCTCAACACTTTAATAAAAGGAAGGCATCAAACTAATGCTGGTGAGTCTTATCTTTGTTTCAATGAGAACTCCACATTCCCATGAGCCAAGCTAGCATTTGCATCGTTTGGGATACAACAATAGGAGGGAAGACTCCAACTCCAAACATGGGAACTGAGAAGGGAACTCCCCGCTACATATTCATGAGTGGCCAAGCTCCCAGGATAGAAGCACTGCTTACCATATATTAGATTTAGAAGTCAGTGCTAAGTTCTCTAACACTTCAATAGATGCTCTCAGTGCAGCACAGATTTTTTCCTCCCATACCCCAGAGAAACATGAAGCAAAGGGAGAAACCATAACTGCATCTTCTGCATGCTTGCCAAATTCTTACCAACTACAAGAAGCACTAAGTGGGAGACTCAAGCACAAGACATCCAAAGATCATGAATTAACTTTTCATTGCTTGCAATAACTAATGTACAGCCCACCTGAGAAAAGTCACTTTGCTTCTGGATGCAGTGTAAGTGTGCAATGATGCTGTGGTCAAGCCACAAAATTCCCTACAATCCCCTGCAGCTAACCTGCACAGAGCTAGCGTGCACAATTACTAGAGCATGTTTTATCCAAAATTTAAATCACGTGGCAACAAATGATGAAAAGCTATCTTGTTTTAATCAAGAAATAAACACTTACATAAGGTGACACGTTTAGCCACAATTAGCCCTTAATTAAAGCACATAACACTTTTAGTCAGCCTTACCACAATCCCTAGGAAGGTGATGGAACAGCTCACCCTTGAGGCCATCACTAAGCTTGTGGTCAGGAGTAGTTAGCATGGATTCACCTTAGGGGAGTCATGCTTAACCAGCCTGACAGCCTTTAAAATCCGGACAACTGGCTGGATAGATAACAGGAGACAACTGGATTTGTCTATGTGAACTTCAAACAAGACTTCTGACACTGTCTCCCATGAGATCCTCACAGGCAATGCTGGACAATTAGTGAGGGTGGGCTGAATGGCAGGGCTTGGAGAGTTTTTAATCAGTGGCACAGTCTAGCTCAACCCAAAGGTTCATACTGGGTCCAGCATTGTTTAACTTACTTATCAGAAAATTAGCAAGTCTGCTGAGGATACAAAGCTCAGAGGACTGGTGCTGTGCTGTCCTTCAGAAGATCACACGCACTGGAGGGATGGGCAGGGCAGAACGCTTTGAAACCCAGCAAGGACAAGTTCAGGGTCCTGCACTTGGGATGGAAGAGCCTGGTGCACCACTACAGGGTGGGGGCCAACCTGCTTGAAAGCAGCTCTGCTAAGAAGTACCTGGGGGTCCTGGTGACCAAGCTGTCCATGAGCAGTGCCCTCATGGCCAAAAAGGGCAGAGTAGCCTAGGGTGTATTAATATGATCATTGCCAGCAGGTTGACAGAGGTAATCCTGACCCTCTACTCAGCCCAGTGAGGCACATGTGGAGTTCCAGGCTCCGTAGTACAAGACAGATGTGGACCAAGTCCGGTGGAGGGCTATGAGGATGATTAGGAAACTGGAGCACCTCTCTTATGAGGAATGACAGAGGAAAATAGGCCTGCTTAGACTGAAGTGTGAGAGGAAAGCTCATCAATGTGTGTAAATATTTGAATGGAAGGTGTCAACCAGGCCCTTCTCATCGGTGCCAAGCAATAGGACAAGAGGCATCAAGCAGGAAATGATGCACAGGAAGGTCTACCTAAATGCAGGAAGAACTTGTTTACTGTGCAGGTGACCACGCACTGGAACAGATTGCCCAGAGAGGCTGTGAAGTCTCCCTCACTGGAAACATTCAAGAACTGTCTGGACACAATCCTGCAGGATGTGCTCTACAGAACTCTTCTTGAGCAGAAAGGTTGGGCTAGATAACCTATTGTGATACCTTCCAACCTTATCCATTTTATGATTTTACTAAGCCACAGTTCCATTTCCACTCAATTTGTGTTTCAAACCCATATAAATACAGTCTGTGTACAACTGGCAAGTAACTTTTGGAGGGCAGTAGTTTTACATGTACTTTTGTCATTTGTTTTCCTGGTACAATGAATATGAACAAGAAAGTGCATTGAAATACAATCACTTACACTCTTTGATGAAGAGATAGACCAGCGTTAATACTACAGTGTGTCCACTAAACAGGAAGTCTCCACACAGGATGTGTGATCCAGTTATGGATAGACCACCACCAGAAATCAACCGCAGGATTCGCTGAACCTTTGCCTGAGAGTCTCCGTTCAACTAGAACACCAGAAAGAAGTATTGTAAGTGACCCAAGTAAACTTCTTGCCCAAACACATGTAGAGTCAGGGAGATAGGGATAAAAGGACAAATTATCTTAATTTTCTTCAGGTTTCTTTCACACATTCTTAAACAAATAAGTATGTGTTTCAAAGTTGACAGGTGACAAAGATCAGTTTGGTAACACTAGCATTCTGTCTATACTTTCCCAGGCTATGTTAAAATACACATTGTATGAGAATGAGATGCAGAATATACCAAAAAGGTAAACATTAAAAATTTGTAAGGTCAGATCTCTCATCGTAACAGCTGACAGAATCAATGAAACCCATTAAAAACTGATACATTTCATGCAAATTCTGGTATTCTGTCCAGAGCTGACTAGTATTTCTACTGAGTAAAACCCTCAAACTCACTTCATTTTAGATTTAGTTACAAACTCATTCGGGACTTAACTCCTATTTGTAGGATGTAAATTTTAAAAGCATGTATCAGGACCAGCTTTTGGTTTCTTATAGATACTAGGCAGTTTTATCTAGCTGCTTTAAATTAATTCTAGGGGAAAAAAAACAAACCAAAAAAAGATAACTGTTTTCCATAATCAGAAAACTATTCACATACAAAAAAAAATCCAGAAGAATTATCATCAACTGTTTTTCCAGAGTTCAAGTAATTAATCCTGGTTTAATGCTAGAAAAATGCACTTTCAGAGACATTTGCATTTTCCTTTGATTACCTCTTCTTACGCTTCCATACATTCTATTACACAGTCATTCCCCAAGCTATTAGAACAAAACCAATGAACCTTTATAATAGTGGCAGTTAAATAATTTTCAAAAAGATGCTGATTCGTAAGATAATTATTTCATTCACTATATCCCTAAGTTGTCTCAAAGTACAAGACAATAGCCATGATACTGTGACTCAAGACTAGAAATCTTATCCAAGAGGTGACAAATTTATTCCCCCACTAAACTGGCAATACTTTTTTCAGTACAGCTAACACAATAGAGTTTGTTCCCAGGAATTTTAAGTCTACAACTTTTTATTACTAACCTAAAGTGGGAGTAGCAACTCCTTTATGTCACCACTTAACTCCAGTGTCATTAAAGAATTTTTGTAAAACTATTAGTACATCCATGTTTCTGTATATATCAGTTCATTTATGCAGCTGAAATTAAGTCACATTTCTATAAATTTTGCAGGGTGGAAATGGAGACAGGCACCTGAATTCAGGTATTTCAATAGCTCTTGACCAAATAGTGTGAGAAACTATACATAACAGTGTGGGTTTTCACAGGAACACAGCAACAAAACCTTGCATATCAGGTTATGAATTACAGTATTGACCTTGGGTATCCTACCATATAAGAAAAAATATTGCTACAGTATTAAGAGTGATTAGCTTGAGCCTCAGAAGCAAGCTGACTGATTTAGTAGCAGCACTATTTCAACCTAAGATGTGCTGAAACGGAGCAGCCAACTGCATCAACAATTTGAGGCTCTGTTATTACACAAGTTTTGGTTTATCACTACCTATGTTTCTGAAGACATCAACTGAAGTAATTTGTGTTATTTGGTAAAACCTGAAATATCTTCTATTTGATCTAAGGAGCCATCAGGACTGATGCAGAGACTTAAGGCAAGAAGCAAGAGGCAAAGACTCTTACCTTTGGCGCACACTGAAAATGCATTCCAGGCACAGGTAAGGTGGTGACGTACATGGTAATACAGCGGTACAGGTACAAAGTTCCTATTATAAAAAAGAACCTGCGTCCCACTATTGATCTGAAAGGAAGGAAATGGGGGAAACAGACTGAGTGTGAAGTTTACGTGCAGGATGTGCAACAGTTATGGAGCTCTAGCTTCATTAGACAGCTGAATCCTTAGAATGAAAGAGCAGATTCACCCCAGCTCTTCACCACACACTTCTCTGAATCACGTATTAAAACATCCCTCTTCAGCTTTTAGTCTTGTTAGCTCCTTATAGTGTGAAGCTCACATCAATTTAAGATGGCCTCAGCCTAACTTACAGTGTGGCCAGGCAGTTCTCCTCAACTCCATGACCTTTTCTTTTTAGTCCACACTATAACCCCATTCTCGACTTAAATATATACAGTTTAAGAAAGACACAGGGGAAAGCTTCTATTTAGCTGTAGAGGACAGTTGATTCTTCCTCAAATTTGGATGAGATTTTCTTACACCATCATGATTTCCCCAGTTTAAACATCCCCAAGTCAGTAAACACACTTTGAAAAGCCCAGTCTCAGAATAAACTTGACTGGTACAACATAGGTGTCAGAAATGCAGAATTCAAAGACCTTATTCAATAATCAGAAAATCTGTATTTCCATATCTGGCATAGACACTAGAACATTTTGTAAACAAGACATCCCTTTGTTATTTTCCTGCCAGCCCTATTCTACAATATTGTTAAGGATTTTATTGTCTGACTACTTCTAACCAAAATGAGCAATGTAAACATATTAGCAGACAAAAAAAATATTGCTAACTCACTTGTATCTAAGAAACAACCACTGGAATATCCATAATCCAAGTAGTATCATTCCATTTATTTCTGATACAGAAAAAGCCCATTTCACACGATCAATGTAATCAAAAAATTTGTCAGGCAAGGGAGGGCTTAGCTCCTTTGGAGGTACTCTCTCATGGACCACAGTGATCATGACAGTTGTTAAAATCAAGTTGAAGAGAGCATAGACAAAGGCGATGCCTGTTTTCCACCATTCCAGAGGAAATTTGTTCCTGGATTCAGCAGGCATAGCAATCTGGATGTAATCAGGATACTTCTTTGCTGTTTTTCGCAAGCCATTAGACAAGCCCTTTGGTTTGCTAGTGCCATTTTTGTTCTCTTCACTGACTGAGAGAGTAGGTCGTGAGTAGCCATTAGAAGTCTCATTTGGCTGACCCTCCATGTGCTCTTCAAGCTTTGCTGTCTCAATGGTATTCATTTCCAAGCTGTATGGCCAAAGAGGCTTTATTAGTGACCAATTTCTGGGCTCTCTGAACTCTGTTATTCCTCAAAGTCCAAAGTTCTTGTTCCTAGATGACTTCTGTAGAGCTCTAAAATGCATCCATTGTGCTTTCAAAGGAATTTGTGAAGACCAATCCTTCTTCTAGAGATGAATCATCTGCAAAAAGACAAAAAAACCCAAAACACATACTGAGGGCCTTCATAACTAGTAGTGTAACAGTGAAGAAAATATTCTCAGAACAGGCATTAAGTATTTCAATTCCATCCCAGTCTACTTAGAAACACAGTCAAAAGGCAAATTACTGTGAAACAATTCAAGCCAACTCCTCTTGATAAATCTCCTATCAGTTTAAGAACTAGTATCAACTTAGGCTTGGGTTTTTTTAAAGGACAAGATCCACAGACTTTAATGATCATGACATCATTTGCTTTATCAGTTATCAGAATTAGGGCTAATCCATATTTGCAGCAACATTGAGTTTTACTGTTTAAAGATATTCCATGCAAAATACCCTGATTTTGACCATAGGGTTGCTGTAGATATTATGGATTCTCCATATAGATCAGACAAATCTTGTCAGTTCAGGTGACTGGACAAAAACCAGAAGGGCAATACAGAATTAAATTTTGTAGGGCATAAATTAATTTAGATTCATCTAGAAAATCTACTCAATAGATAGCCCCATTAAATTTCATTAGCTCTAAATGAGTATTCCATCAAGTCAAAAATGTATTTATATAGCCATTGTAATACCCACTAAATGTCTGAAATTTCAGATAACTGAGAAATATATCCCTGGATTAGATTCTTAGTTATGGCACACTACACACAGAACAGATGACAAATGAACCTGTGTTTCTCCTTTAGCTACTTTAAAAACAAATCTATTGAGACAGTTTTTAAACAGAAACAAATAGAGTCATTATTACTCAGGATTTATTTCAGGCTGCATTTGCTAATTCAGAAAAGTTTTGCAAGGTAAAAAACCAGGTAAGTGCATATGTTTTATAACAAGTTTTTCTACAAGGAGCAAAGAATTGAGTTCATCTCTAGTGAACAAACATCTCGCTAGTAAAAATAAAGGCCATTTCCCCATCTTTAAAGTTCTGTGAAACCACTTACTCACCATAGCTGTGGTGTACCTATTTTTCTTATTCTGTTCAGCTCCTATGACAAAAACAGTATTGCCATGTACAAATTGCTCCCCATCTACCAGTAGATTGTGATTCTCTTATTTTAGTCGTTCCTGCAAGAGAAGTTCAGCGCTGCTACCCCTTCCAGTCTCTGCATGCCAACTGCAGGCTGCTGGTCTGCCATGCTTTGTGTACAATTAAGTCACCACGATGGCAGCTAGAGCTGATGGTCTCCCTAACCATACACCACAAGACTTAAGAACATGCCACCTGCTTACAGGACAACCTAAACCAAAAAGGGCCTGGAAAGTCAAGTGATTGTGTTTTGGTCCTTCCAGTCTCATCCCACCCAAACAGAGAAGACATTTAACAAGGTCAGCACACAAATCTCACTGATTTCCTGGGTGCTGCTCCAATCACTGAAAAGAGAAGTAAAATTCAGATCCCAAATATGAGATTCATACAAATAATACCAAAATAGCTGAGAAGCATTTCTAAATTTATCCCCCAGCAGTGTTTCTGAACCATTGTCATTGGCTGACCCTCTCTAAATTCCTGATCAACAAGTGTATGATAACTATCCATACACAACACATACAAACAATAAACACCAAAGAAAACAAGTTATTTTTGATGCTTTTTCTCCCTCTTACCAATCATATTGTGATCTCCGCATCTCTAAGAAAAGGGCATGTTTAACCCATCAGCCAGACAACCACTTCTCTGATGCTTCCTACAACTAAAAATACCCTTTTAGAGCATCTACAAAAGCAACAGCCTTACTCAAAACTATACCAGAAGAGTATTTCAGCTTTCACAAGTCTTTTTCTTAACACACACACACACTCTCTACTACTAGATAGAAGGAATACAAAAGTTAAGCATATGACAGTGACAGTAGGAAAAAAAAAAACGGAATCTAATTGCTTATAGTTTTGGAATGCATGTACCTAACATTCATCTACTAAGTCAAGACTCCACTTCTCACCATTATGTTCCATACAGCAGCCACTGAGGCAACAAGCAGCAAAACCTGGTAAATTTTACATCCTGTGCAGTAGAAACATTATTAGAATTATACATTAACTGAGAGCAAACTACCTTAGTTATTTCCTTCTCTTCCCCACAAATACCTAACCTAGTGTGCCTAGTGACATAAGTGAAAGATTTTACTTTCAGATGTTCAATGACATCCAAGTAAGCCTTAAAGATCAAAGAGTATCAGAAGTGCAGATGACCAATAACATAAGAACCTAAAAAGTCGAGTGGTGCTCATGTTCTCATATTAACTTATTAAGCAAAACAATTATAGCTACAGCTTGCAGGAGAAAGTTGTGTTCCTTCCTGGTGCTTTTAAATGGATTGTAAGGCATATTGATCTACCAGTTCTGATGGCTCATCAAGATTATTTCAAGCAGAGTGCATACTGCAGCCAAAAGTTTGTTTACATTGATAATTAAAGGTGCTATATATCATATGATGAGTGAGCTGTAAGAAGGTAAGTGCTTCTCTTTATAGTACCTTCTCAACCTCTTTCTCCCATATTCTAAAGGAAATTAGCAACTCCATTGATGAAAAACACAACAGTCTCTCTTGAAGCTCTCAGTCCATTGCTGCCACTCTGACTGACCAGAGAAGTGACAGATACAGAGCACCAACAGCCTAACCATCCTCTGCTACTGGCTGTAAAGGAACACCCCAGAAGTGCACAGGTTCTTCTGCCAAGTTCCTGTCCCCAATTCAATTATCCATTCACACACCTGTAAGTAGTGTGGTTCCTTTTAGCTTCATGCTGTCCTTATGATACTTTTGATAAAATATCTATTTGATTTTTTTGTCAAATCCAAAACATCCCCATATCAAAACCAGAAGATGCCCACAAACTGCCTAGTAGAAGGCCTTCAGCAACCAGGCAGCAATGCTTATATCTTGACAACACCTAGGTCTGAAAAGCATACAAAATTGCTCTAAAATAGGGAGCAACTACTGGGGAAGTCACAAACTCACAAAAAAACTGGCCAAGTAACCCAAAAGGATAAATAAAATACCTATAAGGGATACCTCCAAGTTTAGGAACAAGTGTTCTTTTTGGAACCACTTCTTACCTTCTAAGAAGGAATGTTATAATGAAGCAGAGCTTCTGAAGAAGCAACTTTACAGCAGAAATCATAACTGCCTCGAGGAACAACATACTTCAAAGAAAATCTTTAGAATTAAAATATGCTAAAAGAGGAAGTGTCCTTATACTTTATCCTGAGCTCCTGCCTGCTCCCATGCAAATAGCATCCCTTAGTTTTCTGCATCCCCATTTGACTGTCATTTGAAAGAAAATAGTTGAGGTGGGGCACAGCTTTGAGACAAGCACCAGAAAGCATGTCTGCATTTGGCTCTTTGTGCTAGAACTTAAGAATACCAGAGTTTTATTTAGCTTGTTAGTCATCCGATTTTCATCTAAAGGTCATTTTCACATAAAGTTAGCTCCCAAATGGTATTTCTCATCCAGTATTGGAACTTGAACATTTCTCAAAATATTTTAATTTCTACAATTTATGAAGGACTGAATAGTCACAATTTGCACAGGGTTTTCAAATAAGTAGTTCTTAACCTGCTGTTTAAATGCTACTTGAACAAGAGTATCCAAAACAGTGAGACTGATCTATTCTGACATAGAGAAGCTGTACTTTCATATACAAAATGGAAGACTTCTGATAGCACTATTTTAAAGCTCATTCACTTTTGTTAAGGCTGGCTCAAACATTTGATAGAGCTGTACTTGGTAACTGAAGGAAAAGGGTCTGCAAACAAAGTACAATTTGAAGTAACTTACCTATATCACACAATTACTGGGAGACAATTTTTAGCTAGCTTGTATTTTGATCAGTTATATTTTCAGGACTACCTATGGAACTAGAACTAAAAAAGAAGCCAGGTTACCACTGTTATCTAGACAGCAATGAATAAAAACTTGCTTTTAGGAGTTTCTCCTTAATTAGGCTATATGTACAACTCACAGCATGCAGGCTCCTAGAAGGAAGAAAAGTCCAACACCACCCAAAACCTCCAGAAGACAACTGCTGTGATGCTAAAGAACTGCAAGTAAAGCAAAGCTGGATTATAGAAGTACTGTTCATTATTACCACATTATCACTTGCAGCAAATGTTAGCTTTTTTATTTAAAAAAGCATTAACTACTCACATAGTACAAAATTATTTTCAGCAGTAGAAATAGAGCAGTTACTCTCTCTGCCTTCAGAGAGGGATTTTGCAAGTCCTCATTTAGGATTACTAACATACCAACAGAAGACATCTTTAAGGACTAAATCCCTACACTAAATAGAGAAGAAAAGCTTCAAAGTTACAGGTTATCCATATGTACAAACCAAGTTTTACGAGTCCTGTGGAATTCTGTTTCTTCATACCTCTTAATAGTAAAAAGTACGTTAGGTTTCGTTTTCCTAGTGATTCATTATCCAGTGTGTTCTATAGCAGTGCCAGGTTTCCCAAAAAAGCACAAAAAAACCCCCCATTTGTAGCACCACAGAATGGTTTGGGTTGAAAATAACCTTAAAGGTCATCTAGTTCCAACTCTCCTGCCATGAGCAGGGATGCCTTCCACTAGAGCAAGTCCTTAAAGCCCCATCCTACCTGTCCCCAGAAACCAATCAAGCAAGGAAAAAAAATATACTTTAAGCTCTTTTATGATTTTGAACACTGCTGAGTAGGTTTGCCTTAACTGCATGAAGGAATCTTCAAACTCTTGAATTGTTTGGCCCCCAGACTCTAAAGGACGGTATTTGGTGTGTCATACATCTGGAGAACCAGCAGAACAAACAATCATTCAAGTTAGAAGAAACCTCAGGAGGTCCCTGGGCCTCCAGCCAGGATCAGCAGTGACTCAGGGTTTCAATCCAGCTGTACTTTTCATGCCAACAAAGAAGCACAACCTCACCATGCAGCCTGTTTCACTGCATGGCTGTTCTCACCGTGAAGGCTGGACTGTTACTTTTGCTGTTTTCCTTGTTT